AAACAGTAAGTAAAACCGCTTATTTTATATTTATATATCGGCATTAGCATTAATACTATTTATGATTATTCTTCTGAGATTAGACACAAGACATTGAGACCCATGAAATGGCACTATCGCGTCTTCGGCTCAAATTATCCGAAATTAAAGAAAAAGTAAGGATGGAAAATACCGAATCCACTAAAAATTCAATGGATGAGGATTTTGTTAATGAAGATCCTGGATATGATGATTTTTTGGGAGATAATAATGGTGGTACTAGTTATGATACTTTATATGAAGATATCGGTGATAACGACAACAACAATGACAATAATAACAATAATAATGGCAATAGCGGTAATATCGTCAATGTTGGCGAAGATAATAATAGCACAACATCATCGGCAGTAGCAACAACACCACCATCACATAATTATAATCTTCGCACAAGAAGTCCCAACCCCCCTAGCTATAATTGTGGTCGTGTAACTAAAAAATATCGAAAAAAAAATAAACCATTATCACAACCACGACCACCACCACGACCATCACCACGACCATCACGACAACCCTCACCACGACGACTATCACATGATGATTTTGATTTTTTCGACAATGGCGGTGGTGGTGATGACGATAACAATGATCCACCTTCATGTATAGGATGCCCTGTACATCGTCCAGATTAATCCGTTTTTTTTGTTTTTTTATCATGTATTATTATCATATATTTTATTAATAAAGAATTGGTACATATTAATATGAATTATTTTTTCGTGTGAGAGGTTATATATGCATCAAGGTACGATCAAGATTTTTATACCCGATATAGATCTATAGATTTTCTATTTTTGAATACTCTGTATTCCGCATTTTGTGCGTCGTGTATATTTATTGATAGGTGTTCCGAAATAGGATTTTTTGTTTTCTTACTGAGGGTTTTCGATTTTTCTTGGCAAAAGTGATCTGCGTGACAAATTGTCACGGACATATATTTTTTTTCAGACTTACATAAAGGCATTGTGTGTCAGCAGAGTTGGCACGGCTAATATCATGTGTTTTATCAGACTTGTGCCCATTAGTAAAGAATTTTGGTCTAAAAAATTTTCTTGGCAAAAGTGATCAGCGTGAAGATTCTTCACGCGCACGTGATTTTATCAAACTTTTGAACATATACGCATCTTGTATAAAACAATGGAAGACACCCAATTTACAATTGATTCATTGAGGGAATTGAATATCAAACTTGTATCTGATATTGCTGAACTTAGAAAGGAGAATGCCGAGATTCCTGAACTTAGAAAGAAATTTGCAAAAGTCGAGGCTGAGAATGTGAAACTAAGGCAGGCTATAGAAGAAAATACAAAGCGCGATGCTAAGGTTGAGGAACTAGAGCAAAAGAATATAGAGCTTGAGACCAGACTCGCTATATTAGAACAGGAAAAAAGTATTTCTACGAAAGATATTTTGCACTCTCCAGTAAATTCTAACGATACTCCTAAACAGATAGTGCCACAATGTGATGAGCCAGAGATTCGTGATTATACCACTGATATCTCGATATCTGATATAACTGATAATATTTTAAATTCTAACGATACTCATGAACAGATAGTCTCATATAATGAGGAGTCTAACATATCTAGTCACGAAGTGACTGCCTCCGGCAATTCCAATACACAACAGAAATTAGAGACCTCAACATTTCCTATCCCTGCGGAAACCATATTATTGGAAGAGAAAGAAGAAAATGAATTTCTGGATTCAAAGTATAAGGAACAGGTTAGTAAAGAGATAATGGAGAGAATTAGGGAGAAGAAACTTTGGGATCAAGAGTTACTCTCAACTCTTGAGACTAATACTCCTGATATTTCGCATGAGCAAAGTTTAATACAAGAAAAATGCCAAGAAATTTCTGTTACTAAAAATCACGAAAAATCTTCTGACGAAATTTCAGATATGTCTAGTGATAAAATTTCTGAACAAAATACTGAACTTATAGATTCCCCCGATAAACCACTAACAAATCTAATCGTGGAACAAGAATTATAGCAACAGATTGCTGTGACTACTGGAGATAATAATTCAGCTATGTTAGACGAAGACTCAATGCAAGATATTGACATTTCTATCAATGATTTGTTCCCAGTTTCAGTGCAGACCATAGTATACATATTTCGAAAAGTAATTCGATCAGGGCAAGATACAATTTTATATTGGTATCACTTTGTTGGAAAATATGACAGAAGAATAGATGAAGTTTCTGTTAGCAACAAGGTCGGTAAGAAAAAGGCAACTAGCTTAATATATCACGAAATTAAACAGTTTCTACCTGATATCACGGATGTGAATTTACGACATATAATTCTCAAAGCTAGAAAAATTAGAACACTTTTTAGTGCAGTAGGGATAGAAAAAATTAAACAAGTTTCATATAGCGCAAATGCAATTTCTAACCTCTCTTATACGCAAATCCAAAACATCATAAATTATGTATTATCAGCTCCGCTGGCACGACCAAAAACCGTGACCATTTGTCACAATCAGATTAATGTAGAGGTAAGTGTTTCAGCTACATCACCTATTCCTCCAACTAATTCTTCAGGTCCAGGTGATTTGCCGAAGGTTGAGGCAAGTATATCATCTATACCTTAGCTCAAGAAGATCCTACCTAAAAAACAAAATAATTCAACTTATACCCGTGCTTATTTTCGTAACAAATTATTGGAGCAGTATCCCAATTTATATAAAGAATGTAGTAGTGAAAATGTTAATTATTATGGGATTAATGTTGAATCGTTATGCCCAATATGTAAACTAAGCCACGAGGACGAAGAAGGTATAACAGGTGAATATAAAGATGAATCTTACTATATTAAATGTGAAGCATCTGAAATCGGTACTGTCATGCCAGTCTGTGCCAAAATAATCGTATAAATCATCACCTTCTCAGTTTTGTCATTGAAGCTGGATATATGTATTTAGATGTGTCACATCCTCACTTCGTGAAACAGGGAATTATATATCTTTTTTTTGAACTTGAAAGGATAATGGACAATATCCAATATAGAAATTTAAACGATTGTGATCTTATAAAATAACAACATGAATGTGTTAAACTTGCAGACCAAGTCCAATGAAATCTCTACAAATCAGGACACTCTAATCCCTGAATATTTGAATTGGCAAGGTAAATTAATTGGCATTTTAACGGATAAAATTCGTTCTAAATTATATAAAAGATATAAAAATGAAACTGGCCTCGATCCTTGGATGGATTCCAAACCCTCTGAATCTTTTGAGGAAAAGACTTTATTTGTACCGCAGGTAAATGTTCAATCTATACCATCAAAATGACAATTCCCAATTTCTGTTTTACCTAAAGATCCGGAAGAAAGACAACAACACGTTATTAAAATGGTATTAGAGCGATTTCCTTATTTGACTCTGAAACATAGTTTTAACAATGATTACTTCGATTTTAACAGTTCTATATCCTGCCCTATATGTAATAAAAACCATAAAAAAGAAAATATAAGAAATCATATAGAGGGTTTTTGGGGTAGTGGTGAATATTGTGGCGAAAAAAGTTATCATCTCTATTGCTATACAAACAAATATCAGAATTCATTCCAAATTGTATCTATAAAGGCATAAGTTAACTTGACTTCGACAATGCATATATAACGATAAATCATTTCCCGCGATCACATGGGTTGCTCCGTTACATGCATAAATCACGAATTCACACTCAATTATTTTTTTCGTGTAATATATATATATGATCGAGATTTTTCCGAAATAATTTTTGAATATATCCGCATCTTATATAACAATGACTTACACACAATCTAAAATCAATTTATTGAAACAACGAGCCATTGATCTTGAGGCCAAGAATGCAAAGCTAAAACAGATTATAAAAGAAAATGCTAAACGCAAAGCCGAGAACGTTAACCTCTCAGTTGAAAATTCTGAGCTTAAAATTAAAGTAACAAAACTTATCAGAATTCAATCCAAATAGTAAATATAAAAGCATAAGTTGACTTCGACAATGCATATATAGCGATAAATTATTTTTCCGCGATCACATGGGGTTTGAGCTCACGTCACAAGCATAACCATTATATATAATTTATTGTGAATGTAAAAATATATTTATATTGCTGAGCATATATGTAAAAAACAATTAAATTTCATGTGAATTAAGTATATACTTATGCTTCTATTTCTAAAAGTCACTTTTGGAATCTTTCTCGTAATTGACTTTTCTTGCGACTTATCCAATAATCTGGAATAATATATTCTTTATATGTTCTAATTTTAAATTCAGCACCAACAGGATATCTATTATATTTTTTTATATACTCGGCATATTCCTTATTAAGACACATTTTAATTCGATCTAGGGATGTAGGATTTTTTATTTTATGTGGAATTAATGTTAGAAATTTCTCATCATCTGAGGTACCATCGTTTGGCAAACTATTTCAAGCAAGTCGTGCATTTGATGGCTCTTTTTCTTGGAATCGTCTCCAAGCACTTTGTATAATCCTTGCTTTTCCGAAATCAGTTTTCGGTTTATCACATTCATTATCCCAATGACTGATCATCAAATCACTAGGTACGAGACGATCAACATATCTTTGTCTAGTAAAATGGAATGATTTTTTAGGATGTACATCATCGATTTTTATGAGTTTCCAGTAACCAAAACAAATAGCCATATGGTTCTTATGAATTCTCGGTCTACGATAATTGAAATTAATCAATTTACCTTGATCAAATGATCCAAATAATGCATATCGATGGTACACACTAAATTTTCCAGCGTTCAACAAATTCTGTAAAGGTACTCTGACCTATATTCCCCATTGAACAGGTGTTTCGTTCTGTTTTATGGTAGATAAAGTGTCAAATGATCTCTCATTATCAAAGAGTGTATCAAAGAATCGTTGATGATCATTAATACCAAAATAATTTTGAATATACGAGTTAACATACTTCATATCAAAACCTGGACGAATATTAAAGGGTTTGGGTAATGTTCTATCTTTCTTATCGAGAAAAGTTGTAATATCAAAACCAAGCATATTTATCGATTATATAAGATTTAGATAATGTTGTGTTTAAGATGATTTGACCTATAATATATTTAGCGATTTTAACGTTTTTGACCTACAATATACATATCTAGAACAAGATTCAATTTTGTATAATCGAAATATGCATATATATATATTACAAAAATACGTAAAAAACTTGAATTAAGTTACTTATATAAACTTCAGTGATTATTTACCCCACTATTTGTGTTACTGTATATGTGTAACAGATTTCATATATATATAACATTTTCCCACATAAACCGGATCGTTAATTTTTGCCTGTGAAAACTTCTTTGCTTTTGTAATAAGAATGCATGCAAATGAAACTTGAAAAGGCAATAGCGGGAAATAGCATGACAATTTTTATTAGTGCGCTTAACAGGTTATAGGGCTTTGAACTCTTCACTATCTCCGTAATCGCCAAGATCTATGCATATTCCATCTTCTGACCTCCCTAGTATAACTTTTTAAGCAATATAAAGGATCTGATTCACCAAAAACAGAGACGAAATAAATTTTCATTTTCTCTATCTTGCTACATACGACGCAGTGCATAAACCAGATTTCAGCGCCAAATACAAATATAAAATGATAACATGTCTTCAGAACCCGCCTCACCCTCAAGCATATACTCTGACGAAGAAATAATAACTCGTACCATGGGGGATGTTATCAAGGATTATGATACTGAGGAGCTTATCGAATATTTGCAGAGGAAGGATTTGAAATTAGATAACGATGACTTTGCAATTTTCCGTAATGAAAAAATAGATGGGTTGTCATTTTTGGAATTAACTAGAAAGGACTTTACAAATTTTGGATTCAAAGGTGGTCCTGCCATTAAACTAGCAAAATTTATTTCGAATGTCAAAGAACAAAAACTACGGTCTTTTTCATCTTATAAAACTGTAGAGGAGCTAAAAGAATTACTTCGCGAATATAAAGTGAATGGTGACAATATTACGAGTATAAAACAATTCAATCCAAGTAAGTTTTTTCTGGTGTATGCTTTCTATGCTTTCTATGTACCATAAATTCGAGTATGACAAATATTTTTTTTTCTGCAAAGTCTACGAGAAAATCGATGATGACGACGAAGCCCTTAAACAATGTATTGCAGAAATTACATTACGACTTGCGCAAATAAAATCAATGACAGATGCTAACGAGGCGACAGGATGTACTTTTATCGAATTCATATTGCACGCATCAATTGCCGTTGCAAGAAGAGAAACTAATAAAGAAATAGATATCGAGTACCAGAGAGATATTTCCGGCGAAGAAACATCCGGTCAGGTTGATTATGCAATAAGTGGAATGGAGGACCTCCTATGTATTACCGAAGGAAAACCACGAAACATAAAAATAGGATATCTTCAGGTATACCTAAAATAAATATGATTATTACTATCGATATCACTATTGATATGCTTTTATTTTTCAGAATATAAAGCAACTCGAAAGCTCCTTCCACACAAACAAAAAACGAACTGTAGATCAAGCATTTAATGATGATGGTGTCGCGTGCCCAGTGCGACAATGTTCTGAAGGATAGAGAATCTTCTCTAACAAAAACTAACAAAAGGTTATGTAAT